TTTTTTGAAAACGCGAAAATCTGGGTCGGTCGGAAGACGCTAAACAGAGAAAAAAAAGGGATGGCCTAATAGAATAATGATAACCTCGGGGAACCCGTCGAAACATGATGCGGGCTGATAACTCCATAAATTTGCATTAGGAAGAAAATTCACATACAATCCATTACAACTGCTCTACTATCTTAATTAGTTTCAGGATATAAAAACTCGTTAAAGTAAAAGTAAGATACAAATCGTGACCGTTGTTGAACTGACTTCATGCGAGCAAAACCGGAAAAAGTGTGAATGGCAAATAACGATGTGCTTTCGCTTTCCATTCGAAGAGAAGACGCAATTCTTCGAACTGCATGTTCGTTCATATTTGTCGTGCCCATAAGTAATTTTTGTTGAGTAATTGTCTTCGAATTGTCTCCAAACTAAAAGAAACAGATACAACATTGGGAAACTTTTCGTGTTTAGCGCATAAAAGAAGATATACGTGAAACGCTAGGTCAAGATGGCACTTCCTGGATGTTCGATCGATATGCGATGGAATAGTAATTTGCTAACTTACCTGGCGTAGAAAAAAGCCACATCAGTTGGTGATAATGGTTTTTCGTTGACCAGTCTGTTCAAAGTCATTTAGTCCTCAAGTTGTTCGCTTTGAGGTCTCAGAATGCGGCGCTGCACAATTATTTACGCACTTCTTAGAAAACCACAAGCTTTCTACTGATCTTTTGCTTTTCAGCTCCGTTAGTCATTTGGCAATGTCGTCAGCCCTCTAGTAAATTGCGTTTCAGGAAAATTTTCATATTGGTTTTGTGCGACAACCGGCGTTAACTGAAACACGCTTCCAAAGAGCACCAAAACAAGTATTCTAGACGACCTTTGGGCGGTTGCAATGGACCATTTTACAGTTGTCTGTTCAGTGACCTGGCCTTTGAATGGCAGCGAGGCTGCAGGTGACCTTGTTTTGATACAGACCTCACCGCTTTTGTTGTGTAAATCAAGTTGTTCTTATGCTAACTAGTTTGCATTTAAATGAGGAAAGCAGTGAGGTCTGTATCAAAGCAAGGTCACCTCCAGCCTCGCTTACATTCATAGGCCAGGTAACTAAGCACACAACTGTAAAATGGCCTATTAGACTTTTTTTTCCGCGAACTTGTCCGCGGCTCACTAGTTCACGCCATTTCGCAGAAAAATCATAAACAAATGCATGAAAAACTAAAAACGCGACTGATGTTTTCTAACTCAGCTACATCCCTCAAATTTGTTCACTACAATCCTTTGTCTTGTATCTTGACTTTACTATTAATAAATTGTGCAGAGTTTGATTTGTAAAATTGATTTGTCGTCGGATTCACGTGTAAACACTTAAATTTCTGACGCGTGTTATTCTAATGTTGCCTACCCGTTAAGATGGCTTCAAAAACCGTGATAATGTCTACACTACAAGAATAGTAACAATACTACAACAACCGTTATATTTTTTTTGACAGTACGCCAGCTGTTTTTAAAACGCATTTTACACTTCCAAACTATCAACAAACAACAAGCACAAATACAGACTGTTACGATCCAACACGTAACAAAACATCATTCGCCAAAACACTGTCAACTCCGTTAAATTCCACTGTTTTACAGAGAAGAGAAGGCAGTCTCAAAAAATTGAAATTACTTACACGAGCAATGTGGGACAGACAAGACAAATGTCTTCGGAATTGCACTACCTTTAATTAATCGACAACGTATCCACTTTCTTAACTCAAGCATGCAGATAAATACATAGACTAGTTTGTCGCACCTTGCTGCGTACCTCATAAATTGCTCGCATCTCTAACCTTTCTTTTAATAGCCTGCTCTGTACAAAGATATTTCTGCTCAAATTTTACTCTGTTCTTCTAAAAACATATGAGAAAAAGAGTTCCCTGTAGGCCCAAAATAAATTTAGAATGTCATTCCTCTTTCCGAGAAAAAAGATCGCTGGGCCACGTGACATGTAAATAGATAAATACATTCGAAAGACAGAAATCGATAAAGTAAACGGAAAAATTGGTATGACTTGCG